ATCTGTAAAAATTGTAGCAACCTCAGTTTTATATGGTTACATTTATTCTGACCGTTTTTTTTTTTTATTAAGCATTGGTCTTCCATAGTAGCATACATTTGAATCATGATAAACACAGTTAAAACCACACATATAGCAATAGCACCTCAATACCATGGTAAAATTATAACTATACTGTTTTTCATATAGGCTACCTAAAAAACCAGTCTAAAAACATTCAGTATAAATGCACACATGCTATAGCTTAAGCACAAATACATACTATAATTATATACCATTACTTCTGTAGTAAAATTCAGTGTGACTATCCCACATTTCTGCCACAATACCATGGTGCAGTGAGTGTTACTACAGTAAATCCATGGTAAATGATGGCGATGTGTAGATTGAGTGCAACGAGACAGTCAGAAGGCTTTTCGGTGTTTCTCCTGTTTGGCTTTAAACTAGTTTAAATCACCGAGTCATTTGTGTTCATCGCCGAGTTCAAGCACTTCACACTGGATCTGATCTCACAGCGCTGTTTAGTGCTCACGTGACCGAGTTTGCTCTAGTGAGGCTGTGTGGCGCGATTCAAATCGAACTCTTCCTATCGTATTATCGAGGACAATTATATCGCGATACTTGTCGTTATCGAATTATCGCCCAGCCCTACTTTTGGCAGAGGGAACGATTGTTACTGAATCACGACTTTATTCATCACACACAGCACAGAATCATGTATGTACATTAAGATTCAAAAATAGATTTGACATTGTGCAAACACACCATGACAGGTAATTTAACAAGCAGAACAGGCCTTTTTATGGTATGACTCCTGTTTTGAGCTTAAAGGGACAGTTCACCCAAAAATGAAAATTCTGTCATTAATTACTCACCCTCATGTCGTTCCAAACCCGTAAGACCTCCGTTCATCTTCGGGACACAAATTAAGATATTTTTGATGAAATCCGAGAGCTTTCTGACTCTCCTTATAGACAGCAAGGATCCTAACACGATCAAGGCTCAGAAACGTTGCAAGGAGATCGTTTAAATAGTCCATGTGACATCAGGGGTTCAACCGTAATTTTACGAAGCTACAAAAATACTTTTTGTGTGCAAAAAAACAAAAATAACGACTTTATTCAACAATTCTGAACATAATGCTGAACGTAAACAACACTGATTACGTTGATTATGTTCTGGGGTACTCTCCAAAATGGCAGAAGATGGTAACTCGGGGAGAAGAATTGTTGAATACATTTTTATTTTTGTTTTCTTTGCGCACAAGAAGTATTCTCGTATCTTCGTAAAATTATGACTGAACCACTGATGTCACATGGACTATTTTAACGATCTCCTTGCTACGTTTCTGAGCCTTGATCGTGTAAGGAACCTTGCTGTCTGCGGTGGGTCAGAGAGCTCTCAGAGCTCATCAAAAATATCTTGATTTGTGTTCCGAAGATGAACGAAGGTCTCGTGGGTTTGGAACGACATGAGGGTGAGGAATTAATGACAGAATTTTCAGTTTTGGGTGAACTATCCCTTTAATAGTTATTATGAACAGCTGTATGGAAAAGAACTGCGTGAAGCTCTTTCTTCAGCGGAGCACAAAAGGAGGGAATGTCAGGTTTGCAACAAAAGTAGCAAAATCCTTGCCACATTAGATGCAGTCACATTTACCGCTGTTCGGCAAATTTTCACACTAGAAATAGTCATTTCAATAGGGATCCATGCAAGTCACTGTAGTTTTCTGACCTGTGTGGACCCTCTGCTGGGCTTCATGTGTCGGGGGTCTGGACAGCGGAGCGAGGGGGTCCATGTGATACACCTCGTCTGTGCGCACATACGGCACATAGTCTAACGACGGCGGGCGGCCCGTGTCCTCCGTCACCTGCTGAGAGGACTTTACTGCAGGAGCGGGAGAAGACGGCACCCTGCTGGAGACACAAGACACTCTTTAATCACTAGAAAACACATCAAGCACGCTGAAAACATACGCTTTCAAAGGTAATGCTGGGAAGACTTTTACATTTTGCTTCATTTTAGAAAGAAATTCATCTTTCTGTTCACCAACTGGACTACAAAACAAAACAGTACACTTATTACTGTTTGTGTTTAAAATAAAGTCTCTGCTGTGAAGGCAAAGCCTGATGTCTAGCAGCTATTACTCTAAAACCCTGTGTTATATCATTCTTAAGAAATCCTTCTAATGCTGAACTGGAACTCAAGAAACCTTTCTTTTAATTAGCAGTTGGAAAAAATTGCGCTGCATAATGAGGTGAAACAGTACCACAGTGTCTATTTCCAATTTTTGCATTTCTTGCAAGTCACACAAACATATATATATATATATATTCAGTTTTTCATATTTATATGCACTTTATGTAAGTAGTCTGTTAGATTAGATTTACATTTGCATCATACCATACATCTTACAACATATGTTTTTTCCCCTCTTGAGTATGAGCTCCATATTACCACAATATCATACTATATTATCCATTAAAGCATGATGTATCAATATATGATACTGAACAAAAACACAGACCTGTAAACTTTGTTTAAAAAGGTGTAAAAGGGTTTAATATACTGGTTCATTAAAGGGTTAAAAGGGTGAAATAAGCAATAATCACACCCTTCCTATAAAAAAAAAAATCAGTTGTTCATCAGTGATAATATTTGTAGTTTAAAGGGCATCCATTCTTTGCCTACATATTGCCTTTGGCTTACTGTATGATTTATGACTTAAATGTGACCCTGCCTGTGAAAATCCAGCTAAAGTAATTTTTTTGTGATTTACTGTTTTCTACATAAAATCATCCTTCATAAAGATGTAGAACATTCTGTGAAAATATAACCTTTATATCTTTAATACTGACCGAGTAAGGCCATGTCAAAGACTGAAATCATAGTGAAATTAATGGTTGAAATCAAACTTTGATGCTTATTATCTCATTAGATTTTGAGACTTTAGCCTGGATTTCACAGAGAGGGTCACAAATAGTCACTGTAGTCCACAGTATAATGTTTAAGTAAAAAGAGATTTAAACAAATAAGCTTCATGTATCTGGGTAAAAAACTCACCTTTCAGCGCTGAAGGCTGGTGCTCCTTGGTGTTGATTTTTACTCTGAACAGAAGAGAGAAACTACATCAACACTCTGAAATGCATTTATCAACATTTACACAACAAGCATTAATAGGGATGGCAATTGTGAGGAATTTAACACTGGTTCTGTTCCAATCAGTCTTTTAGTACTCGACAAGTCACTGCTCTTAACTACTAAACGAAAGCGACATACTCTTTGCCCCAGTGCTGGAGGAGACGTCCTGAGTGTCTGTGCTTGGGGTCTGTGGTTATGAAGCGGCTGCGGTGTGCTTCTCTCCAGCAGCGTCATCAGCTGCTGCTGCCTCTGTCTCCTGCTCTCCTGCCGGTGTCTCTGTAGGGCTTCGGGGTAGCGCTCCGACGCCGGGACGAAGGCTTTGCTGGGTCTCTGTGTGTTCCACTCGGGCCTCTTCTCCAGCCTGTGGATCCTGCCGCTCCGCGCGTAAGGCTCGTAAGCGTCCGCTTCTCTCAGATGCTGCTTGCTGTGGCTCTTTGCAGATGCTTTTACCTCGCATCGCTGGGATGTGTTGTTTGGAGGAGCTGGGCATGTGACTGCAGCTCTGGGAATAACGGTCTCATTCTCTGGCTGAGGGATGATCTCTGCAAAAATCACAGACTGATATTGAGCCAGTGCTCATACTTTCGTTTAGCAACATTTTTTTTTTTTAAATGTGTTCACCCGCAAATGAGGTTTCTGTCATTAGTTACTCACCATCCTCTCATTACAAATGCTGTTTGTACTTCATTTACTCAGCTCTTTTCCGTACAAGTGGAATCAAAATCAGATTGGTCATTTACGAAAATCTTCTCCTCCACCAAAGCTGAAATTTCACAACCATGTTCAGAATTAATTGACGTACGGATGCAGTTTTGACGTCATTGTCTCCCGAATGTCAGATTAAATGTGACCCTGGACCACAAAACCAGTCATAAGGGTCAATTTTTTAGAAAATGAGATTTACTGAATAAATAAGCTTTCCATTGATGTATGGTTTGTTATGATAGGACAATATTTGGCCGAGATACAACTATTTGAAAATCTGGAATCTGAGGGTGCAAAAAAATCTAAATATTGAGAAAATCATCTTTAAAGTTGTCCAAATGAAGGTCTTAGCAATACATATTACTAATCAAAAAATAAGTTTTGATATATTTACTGTAGTAAATTTACAAAATATCTTCATGGAACATGATCTTTACTTAATATCCTAATGATTTTTGGCATAAAAGAAAAATTGATAATTTTGGCCCATGCAAAGTATTGTTGGTTATTGCTACAAATATACCCCAGCGACTTAAGACTGCTTTTGTGCTCCAGGGGTCACAGATGTGAAAAATAGGTAAGATTTAAGAGCTTTGGCTGAGAACATTTCTCATTGAAGGCTTCTCAAGAACTTTTCTACTTTAATTTTTTCCCTCCTTTTTGGAACTTGAAAGCCATTGTCAATGATTGTCAATGAACATGATGTTGTTGCATAAAATCATCAATGCATTAAGACTCTTTCAGCAGATGAGGATGAGTAAATTATGACAGGATCTTGATTTCTGGGTGAAGTATCAAACCTGTCTGAACAGCGGTGTCTCTTCTTGGAGATGTTGTGGAAGTCGCTGAAGGACCAGGTAAATCTTCACCACTGAGGGCTAAAAGACTACTTTATAATAATGCATACACAATCTAATGAAAACAAAGGAAGTTTATTTCCCTCATACCCTGTGAGACGGAGTCTGCTTCCAGGCTGTGCAGTAGTTTGGACACATCGTGGCCTTTCTTGGCCAGGTCTCTGATTCTCTGGATGTGTTTGTCTTTACAGGCCTCCTCTTGGGCTCTCTGAATGCTCAGATGCAGCTCCTCTGTTTTACGAGACTGCACCTCCTGGAATAGAGTTCTCACCACTTTCATATTCAATATAACGGACCCTACCGTTTTATTTACTCTTTTAAAATAAAAGCTTATACCATGCTGTCAACTTAAAAAATAAGTCCTTCCAACATTACATTACTCTAACATTGAAAAACATTTAAACGGAGTGGATGTGTTCATTTGATATTTTCAACCATTTTTCACGCAACTGTTTACAAAAAATTATATACAGACTTTGTTTAGTACATGGTTTGACAGATTAATCCAATTGACTGAAATAAGTTTTGCAATTACAAATTTGGTAGAGTCAGTATTTGCGTTTTCTAGATGCCCATTACAGTGCCAATAACCAGAAGTGAAGCACAGATCGCTCTCTCTTACAGTTTTCTTCAACTGCTTACACACATTTTCAAAACTTTGCCTCTTTTTTTCTTTACACTTTACACACACATCCAAGAACTGCACACATGAAATGCAAAATGCCTCACATCTCTTGCAAAACGAAGCACTGCATTCAAAATATCACACACACATCTCAAAAGCAAACATTTGAAAACACCTTTGCCATAATATTAATTCCTGTTAGAGTTTTGTGTGTTACATAGAGAATTGTGTGTTGTGTTTTGCAAAAAGTGTTTTCTGAAATTGAAAACGGAGTCAAAGGCTGAGAATTAGTGTATGGTTCTGCAGATTTGGTGTGTGCTTCTGCTGTTTGAGTGTCAGCTTTCAGAAATTGTGTGACAAGTACAGATTTTGTGTGTAAGCAGTTGAAAATAACTGTAATAAAGAGCATTTACTCTGAAAGGCAAGGATCCTAACAGCCTCTGCACAAGCAAAGACATCTCAGCCAATCTGAACACAAATGTTTCTCAGAACCACAGTTTATTGTCTCAGGGTCTATCAGAACACTCATTTCAGTGATGTCTATGAAAACTTATTTCCATCATTGAATAACAATATAAAAACGTAATTTTGACTATTTCACAATTGTGTGTTTTTTTTCTTCTAGCAATTGAGAGTTCAGTGTTTACATCTCTCAATTCTGACTTTTTCTGAAAATTCTGCATGTGCATGCAGTAAGGTCAAGTGTCAAAAATGTCAGAATTGTGTGATGTAAACTCACAATTATGAGAACGTCTGAATGAACATAAATCTGAAATTGTGAGAAAATCTGAATTGAGATAAAAAAAATAATTACCTTTTTTAATATTTTTATTCTGTGGCGGAAATAAGCTTCCATATGCACAAAGCATATATATATATATATATAAATATAGCTGTCAAACGATTAATCGCATCCAAAATAAAAGTGTTTGTTTACATAATATATATAAATACACACACATACAGTATATATTTTGAAAATATTGACATGTATTTACATGTATACATTTATATTACAGATAAATATATTTAATATATAAACATAACATATTTTTCTTAAATATATACATGTATGTGTGTATTTATATATAGACATAATAAATATACACAGAACACACACATATATATCATGTAAACAAAACCTTTTATTTTCGGATGCGATTAATCATTCGCACACACACTACACAAAAAAAATATTACCAAACGGCAGCACTAGTATAAGACAGATTTGTAATATGTTTGTGTAGTGCGTGTGTGTTGTACCTCTCTGTGTCTCTGTCGCTCGGTGTCCTTCATATGCTGCTGCTGGAGTTGTTCTCGCTCTCTTTCAAGCCTCCTCTCCTCCTCTTGTTCCTGCGCCCGTCGTGTGGCCTCCTCTTTCTCTTTCTGGCGTCTGCGCTCCTCTACCTGAGCCTCAATGGCTCGCTGCACATCACACAGTGTCACAGAACTCAGCAATGTTTCTATGAGTGTACGGGTTCAGTCGAGGGTTGAATCTCACCTGGTGCTCCAGCTGTTTGAGTTTTCTGCGTTCTCGCTCCTCGATCTGAGCAGGGTCCAGCAAGGCTGTCATTGTGCGAAGATGACTAAACAACGAATCACAGGGGCATTTTTATTTTCATAAATCCCTTGAACAAGCCAGACTAAGAATATTTAGAATTTATTTAGTTATTCCAAACAAAGTCTAATTTTAAAAAGTCTTTAGGCCAAGATTTTTATTTTGGTGCATTGTCATTATAAATTAACTTCCATTCTGTTTAGAATTATTGAAATTTAAACAATAAATTTACATTAAAAATCCCAGCTGTAGTTGCTAGAACTTTACTATATAAAAACAGTAGCAACAGTTTAGGTTTTACAGACTGAGTACAAAAAACAATATCATTAACTGAAGTCGTGTTATTATACTAAATTACTAAAATCTGTTTTTTATAGCGCTGTCAAACGATTAATCGCGATTAATCACATCCAAAATAAAAGTTTTTATTTACATAATATATCTGTGTGCACTGTGTATATTTATTATGTATATATCAGTAGTAGTAGTATATTTTTGTTTAATGCCATGTCAGCATCTTGGGCTATTTTCATGGTAAAAACAATTTAAAAAATACAAGTATAGCAAATACAATAAAAACCAGCAAACAAACAAACACAAGTTATATTACACAAGATTTTTTAGATTAACGTGATAAAAATTCTAAAACTTTTTCTGGCAAAATTATACTAAATAACTCTTTAAGTGAGTTCACTTCATAAAAGATTTTTCTACATACATTATGTATATATAAATACACACACATACAGTATATATATTAAAAATATTTACATGTATATATTTATATTCATATAATTTATATTATATAAAAATATATTTAATATATAAACGTAACATTTTTCTTAAATATATACATGCATGTGTGTGTATTTATATATGCATAATAAATATACACAGTACACACACATATATTATGTACACAAAAACGTTTATTTTGGATGCGAGTAATCGTTTGACAGCACTAGTTTTTCCATCATTATATACTGACAAGACTTACTATTAACCAATTAACAGGTTTTTAACATAGCATTTTCCGTCGGTTATGATAGTTCTTTTATGCTATGATTGATCTGTTCTGCCCCCTCAGGGTGTGTTGTGTGTCATGCATCTCTCAGCTAACACACCTGGATCTCTGCTGGTTTCCCTGAGTGGTGTCGACGCTGGCCCTCCCCAGACTGTCCCCTCCAAACGCACTGGAGCCGTCCCATGCCGTGGACAGAGCTCCAGAGACGGAGCGGTGAGACAGACAGCTGCTGGTGTCAGCTGAGGGCTGATGAAGAGAGTCAAAATGAACGGCCCAGCGCTCGATGTCCTCAGCCTGCGGAGGGTACAGGATTGAGAGAAACGAGTCTGTGTGACAAAGAGCACTGTCAGGGGATCGTACCGCTTCAAACCATCTGCTGACAGCGGGTGCAATGCGTGGTCTGTCCTGCGGTGGGCCCCGTAGAAGAAAATTAAAGACCAATGCAGAGAAGCGAAACCGTATGAAGAAAGAGCGGTGCCTGAAGAGCTGTGGCTGTTTATGAAGGTCTGCGTTTACACAAACAGTTATATAATTCAGTTACACTTTATTTTAAGGTGTCCTTGTTACAGTGTACATTCAAGTGCTGGGTAACATTAATTAACTACATGTACTTACTATATGGGGTTAGGATTAGGGTTTGGCTTAGGGTTACTTGCATGTAATTATGCATAATTTATTGTTATTATAGTAGTAAGTACATGTAACATGTGTAACAAGGACACCTTAAAATAAAGTGTTACCAATCTATACTATGATTTAATCATATATAATCATATAATTATATAAAGAAATATTTATTAGATTAAAATGATCTGGTATTGCTTATTAGGCATTAGTTTGTTATACAGATGGTAACGCTTTATTTTATGGTGTCCTTGTTACAGATGTTACGTATATTTACTATAGTAATAACAATAAATTATGCACACAACTAAGCCTAAACCAAACCCTTATCTTAACCCTAACCATATAGTTAACACATATTACTCAGTACTTAAAGGTACAGCATCAAATAAAGTGTAACCGAGATTTCAGACTATTTAAACATAAAACAATCACGACAAATGCATTAGGCTACAACAAAATAAATGGTTTCGTTTTGTTTTTATACATTTGCGGTCAAACGTTTACATACACCTTGCAGAATCTGCCAAATGTTACAATTTCTAATAAAATAAGAGGGGCCGTGTTTTTAGTACTGCCCTGATGAAGCGGTTTCACATAACGGATGCCAACACAAGACTAAACAGAAGCTGAATTCAATGCATACTGGAAAACACTACTTCTAGTTAGTTGTAGACCATTTTCATACCGTGCTGAAACGCACTCTAGTTCAATAAATGGCTTGGAAGGACATGTTGTAAACATTTAGCAGTTTCTGTAGGGATGTAAACTTTTGACCACAACTGTAAATTGAACATTCAGGCAAATGTTACATAGGAACGAATTTTCCTTGAAATCGTTTCAGTTTAAGTGTACAGATTGCACAGTGATCTGCACAGTGACAAGCAAAATTACTTCCAATAACAAGTGTGCCCCTAAAAGCACAAGTGGCCCCTGCATTATTATATATACTGTACATATACATACACAATAGATTGTTTGTTTTAGTTTTTTTGACACACTGGAGTTATACTTGACATGATCATGGTGAGAGGAGTTCACCTGGCTGCTGATCTCTTTGTCGTGTTGTCGGCGTAGTTTGTCCTCCTCTCTCTGCTTGTCCAGTTCCTGTAGCCAGCGTCTCTGCTGCTCCTGTCTCTGAGCACTGAACAAGTCCTCCACAGGAGCCGCTTCCTGCGCACATCAGACACCACAGATGCAGTCAAATCCCTCGATCGACTGCAGAGCATTAGTTTGAGTAGGTGATGAACCTCACCCCCATGATGAAGGCAGAGCGGATGGCAGCAGGGAGCTCTCGCTGTGTTTGGGCTGGAGCTCTGCGGTTTGAGCTCTCCGCTCCAGCTGCCCTCCGTGAGCTCGGCCCGTCCTGCACCAGCACACACACACATACACCAACAACAGCTCAAACACTCAACCTTACATACTGTTTAACAGCATTAGCATCATGTCACAGTGTCATGGTGTGATTATTCTTCTATTCTTCAATAAGGTGTGGTCACATGACCCTGCAGCACAAAAGCAGTCTGAAGTCGCTGGGGTATATTTGTAGCAATAGCCAAAAATACATTGTATGGGTCAAAACTATCAATTTTTCTTTTATGCCAAAAATCATTAGGATATTAAGTAAAGATCTTTAAGTATTTATTTAGTTTATTTCTTAAAGAAGATATTTTGTAAATTTCCTACAGTAAATATATCAAAACTTAATTTTTGATTAATAATATGCATTGCTAAGAACTTCATTTGGACAAATTTAAAGATGATTTTCTCAATATTTATTTTTTTTGTATCCTCAGATTCTAGAAATAGTTGTATTTCAGCCAAATATTGTCCTGTCCTAACAAACCATACATCAATGGAAAGCTTATTTATTCAGCTTAAAGGTGATGCATACATCTCAATTTTAAAAAATTGACCCTTACAGTATACCCTTGGTTTTGTGGTCCAAGGTCACATTTATCGCTGTTTGATGAAAGTGAATTAGTTTCATAAATGATGAATTTTACAACAATAACAGTTACTTTCCTTTAATATTTGCTTTAAATATGTACATTCTTGTCAAATAAAATGTTATGTTTTGTAGATTAAAATTAGATTTCTCTGTTACATGGAAATTTATATGTACATGTGTATTGTTAAAATGCAATAAAAAGACATTTGAAATCTGCTATTTCAGCCAGAGTAAATCTGACTCATGAGTCAAAATGTAAAGTCAAAAAACAAAAAAAAATTAACACTGAACTGGCTTGAGAGTCTTGGTTAAATCTTTTGATTTTTATAATGCACTTAAATTTCCAATGAAATGCACTTTTAGCCAGATTTGTTCTCTCAGTATTGACAATGAAACAGTGCTGTATAATTGATATATTTATTTGTTGCACCCTCTTGTGGACAATTAATTTAAAAAGCTGGTTGATAAAAAAAAAATCAGTGTTTGCATTATTTCCCCGTTATATTTAACTGAAAAGTTAGATTTTTGTTTCTGCAGCCAGGCACAGTAGAATATTTATCGTCTGTGAAAGCTGTGACAGATTGAACACATACAGACAGATGATTTTCAATGTGTTGCAGCTTAAAATGCGTCAAACATTGACCATGACACAGCAACACACAGCAATAGCAATATGATTTATGAAAAGCAAAGTACATCATATCTACTCACTGTGTCAGGCAGGTCTTTCAGCCTGGCTTCACTTGATTCACTGTGAGCTTTCATATCTTTGAGACTGGCTCTCTGCTGCCTCTTCAGAGCCATCTGCTCATCTGTAAAGCAGCAAACCGATTATTTCACCATAGCTAATTCAACACACAGTTCGTAACTACTTCAGGAAACTATTTTGGTGAATTGCTCACTAATTCATACGAATTTGTATTCATAAGTTTTCATATGATCTGCTTAGACCCACTGACGGTTAGGTTTAAGGGTGGACCTTTTAAAAAAAATCATGTGTTTCTGTATGAATCACTTTGAACGTTTGAAGAAAGTTGATAACCAAACAGTTTCTGGTCCCCATTGACTTCCATAGGCTACAAGCAGCTGTTACCAACATTCTTCAAAATATCTTCTTTTGTGAAACGCATACAGTTTTGAAACAACACGATAGTGAGTAAATGACAGAATTTTTGGATGAACTATACCTTAAATGCCAATTCAATGTAATGAATAAGTCCATCACATTCTCAGAGTTTCTATGCCACCCTCATTAATAATTAAAAACTTGCTATGTAGTTATCACAAAGGCGTGTCTGATTGCACAACACAGCAGTACCCAGCTCTCTCCTCCACTGAGCTCTTTTGGCTTCCAGTTTGTCTCGATCTCTTTCCCTTTCTCCAAATGTGCTGAACAAGCCTGACTGCTGCTCATCTGACAGAGGCCTGATTCAAAACAAAAGAGAGAGAGACACGAGCATACATGACACACTTCATCATGGTTATTAAGAACGACCCAGCTAACAGATAACATTCTGGCAAGGTTCTTTCGCATTTATTAACAAAAAATTTTTCAGAAATGTTAACAGAATGTTCGTTCAAAGTTATCTGGTCTTTAAAAAATGTGCTCAAAATGTCAGCACAAAAATATTATTTATATATTGTTCAACATTTTTCTGAAACTTTTTAGTTGGACATTCATCTAATTATTTTTAAACATGAATGCTTACTAGTTTCAGATGGATAGAGAGCATTCACACAATGTCTTCAAAATGATCAAATGGAATGTTCACAAAACCAAGAACAAGAATCAATTTTTTTTAAATGTAAAAAAAAAACAATGCTTTGAACATTCAAACAACATTCAGGAATAACGTTTTCATAACTTCATGGGAACGTTACTGAAATGTTCTTAGTATATATTCTTCTTAGCTGGGTATTTATCACGTAACTCACTTGGTGAATCTCACAAAACATATCAAAAGCATGCCATATTTCATGTCACTGCTCATATTTTAAAAAATAAATAAATAAATAAAAATAGACATTTGATTTGAAGTTCATACATCCAAGACATGCAAAAAATGCTGCTGGGGTATAAAGCCCATTAATCAGTGCTCTCTGGATGTGGGACTTCTAAGTTCATCAAAAAACTAATCACTCCAAGGCACTCGAAATTATAGTGAAAAAATGAAAAAGCCTTTATTCACATGGCTTTAGGGCACCCTGATCAAGGCTTGTTAGCTTGTGTGTTGTGTGTTTTTCACTATAATTTCGAGTGCCTTGGAGTGATTCGCTATTTGATAAGGTTCCTTTCATTGTAGCATTGTTATCATGACAACTAAGCTCACGTTATAAGATTCGCCTCTTGTGAAACACTGCATCTGATCTTAAATCAAGTCAGTTTTCTTACTGTCTGTCTGTCTTTTCTTGTGACGCTCTGTGTCTGTAATTATGGTCGTCCAGGATCAACTCTTCAGCTGTTCCTGTAGTTCCGGGACACTTTTCCTCTGAGCTGGCCACAGGTTCTGCTAACAAGAAAAAAGCCTGTCCTTCAGAATGCCATGGATGAAGTTATTTAACCCTAAAAGGGGCAACGTTTCCTGGGGGATACAAACATTTGAGAAGCTGTGGAGAGAAGCAGTGAAAAGTTTTTGTGGCTTGTGTTTTAGAAAATCAAATCTTTTTGTAATGTTTACAAAACAGATATCGTTGGAAAGGTCTGACAGTGAAGTTTCCATATTTGGTGAATGTTTTGTAATAGAAGCGATATTGTGACAGAAAACTGCATCAAAAAATTCAATAAAGTTTGGGTGTAACCCAGTGGTTGTTTTTGGTATAGTGCCCAAACAAAATCTCACAGGAACCACAATTTTTGTGATATCAACTTCAAATTTGGAACATAAATAGGTTAGACATATGGCTTTTATTTTATAGCAATTTTAGAGTGCAACATATTTTATTAAATATTTATTTTATATAAAATATAAACAATTAGTATACTACATTATCTTTACTGTGAACTTAAACTTTTATAACTTTTTTATACTTTCTTATTTTGAAATGCTTTCACTTCTGTTCTGTTTCCAGTGAATTTATACCCCAAAGGGGCGATGTTTCCTGGGGGATACAAACATTAAAATCAAAAATAAGAGTCAAGTTTTGAATAAAAATCATGAAATTGTATTATTTGAGTCCCAATAAGATGGAAAATAGCAATACATTAATTTTCTGATGTCTCTTTATGGGTTTGCCCTTTTTTTTTATATATATATATATATTGATCATGAAACACCAGAGGGCTGTTTCATAAAAGACGCTAAGAAAAGCGGGGATTAAAGTCCAAAACCTGACTTGTAATAACCTAACAAATCAATCGGGACTAAAGCGGTTTCATAAACGACAAATTAAGTTCATGCAATCTCACTAATTCGATCCAGGTTCAGTGAGTCAGGATAATTTGATGTGCACGCTTATTCTTAAGCAGCTCTTAATGTCGATCATGGATCAACCGATAAACCATGGTAAACAGCGAATATATCTGTGCTGTTTAATGCATTTGAGATGTTGTGTTTTCCTCAGTGCATAACAGACATGTCACAGGTATATTTATTCTTCATCTCTAAATGTTAAAAAGTCATGCAAATATATCCATTTTGCTGTCAGGAGTCTTACGTGAGCAAACGAGCACTGCTGCGCGCTAAACATAATCATTCTGAGTAAAATATACATTTTGCTAAAATATTTGTTGTTGGACATTAAATGTGACATGTAGAATTTTAATCCTACATATAAGTGTATTTTTATGACAGCAGTAACTGTAAATCAAATGTAAGCTGGCTAATACAGCCCTAGCTCAAATGAGTTAAATGTGTGTTCCTCTTATCAGTTAAAATGTAGTCTGTTTTCATTTTTAATTCAGTGATTTTAACTTTTAATTTAGTGTTTTTAAAGAGCATTTTTATACTGTAATGTTTTAATGTTCTACTATAACCATAGCTGTCATAAAACCCGAGAGAAAGGCTGCATGGCTAGAAACTGCTGATCAACTGAATGCGCAAGTAGCAGCTATGTTATAATGTTTTCATGCATCTTAAAAAAAGGTCATTAAATTTTGGGCACAATACATTAAATACAGTCGGTTGTAGCCTAGGCCTATATTTGTATTTATTTGATTTATTTAAGTTGCATTTTCTGTATACTTCTATTTTTGATAATAAATTCTGATAATAAAGTCAAATAATAGTATGTGAGAGTGTCAGTGGTAATATCAATGCGTTCCTATTGGTCAGTGTTAGAGGAGCTCAGCTTAGCCTGCTCCGGACCAGGCTAGTTTCCCAGCATAAGTTGCCACAGTGACTGAGCTATGGTAAATTTGCTTTCTGACACCAAATCAAGTGACAATAAGTCAGACTAACCGAAATAAGCCAGGCTAGTTTAATGAAGCAGCCCCCAGGTCCTATACTCACTGCAGAAGCTCACCTGTGTGAGTGTGAGTGTGTGTGTTTGCCGTGGATGAGCTGCTGATGGTGCTCAGTATCTGCTGGAACTGCTCCTGTGTCAGACACACCACGCTCTCCTTCTGCTGCGTGACTGTGCTGTCCGACTGCACTCTCACAGCCTCGCTGGACCTGCTCTTGGGTCCGCCTGTGCTGTTCTGCCCAGCACAACTGACAACTGGTGTGTTTTTGCTTCTTTTTTCCTTTTCGGCTTTGTCTGCTTGAGCAGGACATTGTTTGGAGTTGGTGATTTTGTGTGTTTTATTCCTTGGAGGAATCTGAGCACAAAGAATACAGACCACACACACAAGCAACACACAGTTCAAAACAACACACGTTTGATAACTTCTAGAATTTGCGCGTTACATTGAACACATTTACACAGACTGAGCTCATTGACTTATCTTTTTTTTTTTTAAACACAAAAAGGCTGCACAGATGTTTACTTACCTGACAAGAGCCCTTCTTATTAGAAGACTTTGATTCAGCACCTGTATAAGACGAGATACACTCTTAGTCGTATGTCTATGTCATGTGTGGCCCTGGAGCACAAAATCAGTCTTAAGTCGCTGGGGTATATTTGTAGCAATAGCCAACAATACATTGTATGGGTCAAAATGATTGATTTTTCTTTAATGCCAAAAATCATTAGGATATTAAGTAAAGATCATGTTCCATGAAGATATTTTGTACATTTCCTACCGTAAATATATCAAAACTTAATTTTTGATTAATAATATGCATTGCTAAGGACTTCATTTGGACAACTTTAAAGGAGATTTTCTCAATATTTTGATTTTTTTTGCACCCTCAGATTCCAGATTTTGAAATAGTTGTCAAATATTGTCCTATCATAACAAACCATACATCAATGGAGAGCTTATTTATTCAGCTTTCATATGCTGTATAAATCTCAATTTCAAAAACATTGACCCTTATGACTGGTTTTGTGGTCCAGGGTCACATATGAGTAATAGTGAATATGCAGTGTTCATAAAACACAAACAGTAGGCAAAAAGTGCCCTCATCGCCGACTACATCCACTGAGACTCTGAAGTGCGCATCCATCAAAACTGACATAAATGACATTCAGTGAAGGGATGGAGTTCACCTTCTTACCATATTTAGCCAACACAAGCCTGGGCTTGCCATTCTCCAGCTCAAACAACAGGCCATCACTGCAAAACAAATCAACACACCTGAGAAGAGTAATGTTGCACTAACACTCTGTACAGTGTTAAAACCATGCCATTTTTAATGATTAATATGATCAATGAAATCATTCATTGCTACGGGTTTAATAACAAAGTGCCAATGTACAGTACACTATATACTTTTTTGCATTATTGACACACTATTTTCCTGTTTAATACTGTAAAGCTGCTTTGACACAATCTGTATTGTTAAAAGCGCTATATAAATAAAGGTGACTTGACTGGACTATATACCACACTGTATCTTACTGCAAAGGTCAGTCTAAAATAAACAGCTCAGAGTGAATGTTTCAGATGAATCTACAGCACATGCATAACAAAACACTGCATCATTTAATCATCCGCATTTACGAACCACTAAAGCAGCGTGAAACGCGCTGACAGTCCAATGTGACAAAAGAGCAGCATACTGGATTAAAACCCCAGTGGAGTCAGGTAATATCACTCACCCCAGATTCTTCATCATTTTAAGCCCGCAGTGTTTTGACGCCTGTGCGTTCTGTTGCTGCTCGCGACCAGTAAACGCTCCTCTGATTGGCTGAGAGGCGGAGTCTCTTCATCTACGGCCCAGCAGCAAACAGCGGGAAGCGCTTTAGCGCCTCTTCCGGTGGAGTGCGGAAGCGCGAGTGCGCGACTGTGTGTACAGACTGACGCTTTTTGACAAGATTGTTATAGTGTTTTCGGCTGAAAGGAAATTATATATATATATGTGTGTGTGTGTGTGTGAGTGTCTGAGTGTGTGTGTGTGTGTCTGAATGTCTGAGTGTGTGTGTGTGTGTGAGTGTCTGTGTGTGTGTGTCTGAGTGTGTGTGTGTGTGTGTGTGTGTGTGTGTAGGTGAACTGGGAAAAGACTTAAACGTGAAAAAGTGAAAACTGAATGGTCCTTATACTGGTCTTATACAGTCAAATTCTAACAAATTATACAGTCAAAATCTAACAGATGTGAGGGAAAGAAACTAATGTCAATGAATACACTCAAATAGTTGAACGAGGAAGATGAATATGCATTTTATTGTGATGCAGATGTTTTGGTATGTATACTTTTCAGTATAAGAAGGTGTAAGAATACAAAGTTGTAGAATTTACTTTAAAACAATTTAGAAATTTACTTTGAAACAATTAAAAAACACTCAGAAATTATTAGTAAATACAAATAATTACAAAGAAACAGCAAGTAATATATTGAATAAATTTTTTTTTTTTAGATTTTGAAGAAGATAGACTGAAACTGTTTTTTTTTGTTTTTTTTTGGGTCATAAAACACAATAATTTTTACAGTGTACAATTATATAAAACATATAAACCTGAAAACATTACAATGACACAGATGCTAATAAGAATAATACCAAAACTGAAGTTTTAATACGTCCGTCTTAAAATAACCTGAGAAAGAATTCTGCTAAAATATAATATGAGTATGAGCAAAAATACCCCGATTAATGCCCACAGAACAGATTTAGAACTAGATCATTAAAGTTCAAGAAAATCAAAAAACCACGTTACAGTATGTAATTGAGACGGTATATTTTGATCTGAGTGCTGACCTCATGAACCCAAATGTGTCCCGCTGACCACCAGAAGAAAAGCTCAGCTACAACAAGACACGTGATTAAAACACAAAAAGAAGAAGAACACTGTGCATATTAGAACCTTAATTAGAGTAATATATACCCTTAAGTAAGTAATATAATGAAGGTACATTTTTAGAGAGTATTTTTGTATTAGAGAAACAATGCATTGTTTTACTTCTACATGCATCTGATTGTTAGTAATGTATTCCTATATGTCCTATATGTTTATTCTCCTGTATATACTGTATGTCTCCTGTCTGTGAATGTGTGTGTGTATTTCTCTGAGGCTCTGTCAGTAGAGGGCAGTGTGTGATGCTCAGACTGTGATACTATCACAATATCTCTCAGGCGCCTGCAGTCAGTGTGTGTTTTAGCTAGAAAAAGGCTTTAAACGCGGATTAACGCACTAGCTAGTCGGATAGATTAATTAGTTAGTGTTTATAAAACGAGATCGCACCTTTATTTGAACAGCTTTGTTATATAACAGAAAGAAAATGATAGAAGAAATACAGGCCAGGTTAGATGAGAAAGAGTCATTCAGATATCATATACATTCTCTGTTAGTGACAGATAAAGCAGGGTTTGATAAAGTCTAAAGACTAAGATAAAGGAGCAAATCGATATTTTTATGATTTTAGTTGCTAGATTAAAAGCTTTATTTTCTCAGGATTAGCCATTAGAGCTGCACGGACGAGATTTGTTTGACTGCGATTTATTTAGCATTTAAATTGATCAACTAAATAATCCAGAAGATGTGTTCTCAGCTCCTTATGTTTAATATATATATATTTTTTTTTAAATCTGGTGATATTTTTAAAGCAGGTTTGTGAGATCTGTTTGTGTGGGTTAGTTAGCATCAGCCTTAGCATCCACATACTAGACGTGTAAAAGAGATTTAGCAGATAAAAGAGTAAAATAGTAATTGAAATCTTAACATTATTATCAGGCATTTATTTACTGTTTTGAAGTACAGAGGGTCTGTGACAGTGCCGTTAAATCATATTAAATCTGTTCTGCTGATCACATCTGAAGACATTAGCCGGCGAGCTAACACGAAGGACATCAGGAGGATTTTACACCAAAACATTGACTTATTTATTTACTCATTTATTAATAACGAAATATATCAAATCGTCGTGAAAGAAGGAAGAAGAAGGCTTTCCTTGAGGAGGAATTGACATCAGGTATGTACATAATGACCTAATTTCCTATAATGTCTGTTTTTAAAGGTTTAATAATGACTGTTTTTGATTTTTGAGTGGATAAATGAGTTATTTTGTGATGTTATGACTGATTAGCACATGTATGATGATGTTATTACATGATGAGTTTTGTTAAAGGAAGGTCACTTGTATAATAACGTGCTGGTTTTGAGTTTATTTCTGGACATATTGTTATTTCCTGTGATTATATACCATCCTTATGTCCGTAATAGATGATTACGTTGATGATGGGGATATGAGCACTGGATCATTACATAAGTCTCACATTGGAGTAGAAACGTGACTTCATGGTTTGCGTGTAAAGTTGCGTAGCTATACGTTTATATGTGCGTCAGTGTTGTGTTTTCATGTTTATCTCAAATATTGTTACTGCACATGGGCTGGGATTTGCTTCTTCGTTAATTGCCTTGATTAATGCAGCTATTTTGAGCACATTACCTTGGAGATGTTTGTTTTTATTTTTTTACAGTCTTTCAAAGGACATTTGTGTGAGACTGAATGTTTGATTGAGGATTTATTTTGCTTCAGACTGGGTTTACAGGTGAAGGATGCTGATGTTGGCTAAAGCTGAGAAGAAAGAAACCCGTGCATTGTTGTTTTAACCGAAACAATGTCCATCCTGGACAGTCACGTTTTATTAAAACATTACGTAATCGTAATGATTAATTAGACACAAATGTACATGTTGCTAAGAGATAGCAGTGTTAATCTGAGCTAGGGATGTAAGGATACCACTAATCTAGTAGTTGGTACTGATACCACCAAAAGGACAGGATACTTGATACCTAAGCCGTTACCATGGTTTAAAATAAATAAATAAAAAAAGAACAATAATACTTAAACATTACCTCCTTTATTTAAACCTTTTAAAGGGGTCATATGATGCGATTTCAAGTTGTCCTTTCTCTTTGGAGTGTTACAAGCTGATTGTGCATAGATAAGATCCCTGAAGTTGCAAAGACTAAAGTCTCAAAACCAAAGAGATATTCTTTATCAAAGTTAAGACTCTGCCACGCCCCCCTAAAACGGCTCGTTCTAACACGCCCCCACATATCTACCTCACTATGTGGAAATATTAGCACAATGCGGCCCAAATGTGCACGCAAAGAAAGAAGGCATGGTTTCAGTAACCGCAGTTAGTGTTGAAGCAGCATGTCAGGGAGACACTGTGTGTTTCTAGGCGAAAGCAAAAGCACTTTACTTGGCCTTCCGAAAGTAGATGCATTAAGATTATTTACAACAGAACAGCAATGCATTTTATGGACGACCGTTTCGTGAACCTAGGAGAGGAGGTAATTCTGACTTTGCTATGACAATCTGGCGCTTCTGAATCAGCTACTGTAAGTATGTTTTGTTATAGTTTAAGTATGTGCTATTGACTGTTCAAATGCGGAGTTTTGCACATCGTGTGTGTGTGTGTGTGTGTGCGCGCGCGAGAGAGAGAGATAGGGTCACATCACAGTGGAGTCAGCTGTCTTAACCGTGGCTTGTGTACTGCAAACACATACCAGCTTCATCACTGTCTGTCATGACTCTGTTCCCCTTTCGGGCTCTGTCTTTACATTTATTTTGAAAGATGAAGCTGGCGATTATGGCGATTATTTACATTTCCGACGAGTGCTTGCGGTGTTCGGCCAATCACAATGCACTGGGTCAGCTGGCCAATCAGAGCAGACTGCGCTTGTCGGAAGGAGGGACTTTGTAGAAAACGGAGCGTTTGAGAGAGGCGGGGCATAGAGGACCTACAATAATGTACAGTATTTGAAAAATAATGTGTTTTTTGAACATTAAAGCATGTCAACATATTCTGTTACACCAAATACACAAAATAATGATCTTTAAAAAAGCATCATATGACCCCTTTAACATTACAAAAACACAACATCAGTGGAACATGGCCTTCAAATAATAAATAAAATGAAAGCGTTTAGCATAGTGTTGTCTCTGTAGCTACATTTCAGTAGTCGTTACCAATACCAGTACCAAATCCCACGGTTCGGTACGATAGAGAAAAATATTGTAATGCAATTAATAATTATAAGTAAATACATTAAACCATTATGTAGCCTTCAAATATTGTTAAATTATGTAAACATTGTATGAAAAATCTCAAATGAAAGTAATAAAATAACACGTTACAGGTAGCAGAACAAGTGTATGTTACACTTATTGTCCTTGCACACTGAGTCCGAAATTTTTTTTGGCGTTCGCTTGTACGGTGGTTCTGAATTGTCAAAACACCTCTCAAAATGCTTGCTGCGGATGCAGAAAATCAAACCGGATTCTAATTTTTTTATGACGGACGAAAGTTTCGGAGGCAGTGTGTAAACGTGATTGACACAGCGTGAGCTCGTATTTATTTTTTAATGCGCGAAAATTTTGGATGAGAATTTCGGACTCAAGGCCATTGCACACCGAGTCCGAAATTTTCACACGTTGAAAAATAGACCTAAATACGAGCTCACGCTGTGTCAATCACGTTTGCACACAGCCTCCGAAACTTTCGTCTGTCATAAAAAAAAATGCGGATCGGGTTCGATTTACTGCGTTTTTCGCATCCATAGCTAGCATTTTGAGAGGTGTTTTGACAATTCAGAGCCACCGTAATCCAGAATGGCGATTGTCAAGTTGATCCACTTCGTCTCGCAGCACAAAGCACTGTAAAGATCTTGCACACTGAGTTCACAGAAATTGGTGGTCTTCTTTTTAATATGTGGCTAGTATCGCTAGCAAAGCATCAAACGGAGACACCGACATCCTGAAGTAAACTTTGAATCGCCCGTGATAATCCCACTGCTCCTTAATTTATTAATTTAATTTATTTTTAATTATATTTAATTTCATTTATTAATTCATTTTAGGGCTTTGATTTTGATTCTTGCGATTCGATTCAATGTCGATTATTTTGGATACATATCAGGGACAGCACATGCCAAATTTTCTCAAGGAAAAAAAAAATCAACTAATGCTGTAAAATATACATGAGTCAGTTGGTACTACATTTTAATATTGAAGGTTAAAATTGACTGATTTGTGCTGTACAACTGCTTAAATTGCACTTAATTAAGTTTTTATAATAATTAAGTTACAATTAAGTTTTTTTTTTTAAATATACACATTTAAATAGTGGCTGTCATAAAAACTTGGACTGATTTATTCAAACATAAATAAAACATTAAAGAACAGTAAAAAATGATAATGAATGTTATATGGTGCATATATTTAGCAAAATGCCCCT